ACTTTGTTTAAACAAGCCCCCATAAATATGTTACGTCCACCAAGGACACAACATATCGGAGGGCACTAAAGGCAAACTTTAGGCAAACGAGGTAGGAAAAGGAACGCGCAAGGAACGCCCAACGTGCTGAAGGCCAGCCTATTTATAGGCGGACGACAGCACCACAAATTAACATAATTAATTTACTAAAAGAATCCTAAAATATATTAACAAAAGGATCCTTCAACTAAAGTTTATAAACAAGCGAAGAAAAGAAATGGACAAAAATCATAATGTGCCTGGGGCACATAACACTCACTGATACCGATACTACCATCTTAGCACAGTATCAGGGTCCCGTCCGATACTGGTATCGGTGCAACACTATTTCTATATTACAATTCAGTACAAGGATAATTCAAAGTGGTTTACGTTAGTTAAACACTGAAGTGGAAGAAAAATAACAGGGGTATAACAGTAAATGAAGATAAAAACACGTTCAAAGCAGGTAGTAAAATAAATAAAACAGTTGGACCAAAACCTTAGACTAATAATACGGTACCAACATTCAAAGGCAGTTCTAAAGATATGGGATTGTAACTTTGACTTCAAAGAACTTAGCAATTTTTCACCCTTATGGGTATTTTTTTCAAAAGAAGTGGATCAGAGGAACCAAATGCTGCTCCTCCATGTTTGGTTCTAGTTCTGTGTGTACAGAGTAGGCTGGAAATGGAAGGCCTGAGTGGTCTGGGAGGTTGATCCACTGACAACAGATCTGCTATGGATTGAGATGCTGATCTATTCAGTGATTAATAGACTAACAGAATCATTTTCAAGTCTATTCTCTGAGCTACAGGGAGCCAGTGGAAGGACTTCAGAATATGGTGATGTGTTCTACTTTCTTAGTTCTAGTGAGAACATGGGCAGCAGCGTTTTGGATCCGCTGCAGCTGTCTGATGGACTTTTTAGGCAAACCTATGAAGACATTATTGCAGTAATCAATTCTACTAAAGATGAATGTATAAATTTGTTTTTACTAGATCCTACTTGGACATTAGTCCTTTAATCCTGGAAATGTCCTTCAGGTGATAAAAGGCTGACTTACTAACTCCTCTGAAGGTTCAGGTCTGAGTCCATCATGACACCAAGATTTCAGCCATTATCAGTGGTTTTCCAGCAGTAGTAGCTGAAACTGTGAGCAAACTCTGGATCTGTCCTCATTTAGTTGGAGAAAATCATGTTGCATCCACATATTGATCTGTTTTAAGCATCTAAGAACAATTTAGAGATGCTAATTAGCCTAACAGTCATGTTTTTGGACTTTGGGAGGAACCAGAGTACCTGGAGAGAACCCATAATGCATAGGGAGAACATGCAACCTCCATGCAGAAAGAGCCTGGACCAGGAATCAAACCCAAGATATTCCTGCTGCAAGGCAAGAGAGACACAAAATGTGCCTCTTTTTTATAGGCAGCTTTGATTATATTCATCCTAATTATGATCATTTGATTCTAAAGCACTTAGTAATTTTCTTCCTGTCAAAGGGTGCTGTTAAAAAAGGATAAGGAGAGTAACATATTTCTGTATCATGGAAATGTTTAAATATTAAAGCTGATAATTAAATAAGGTGTTTATTTTTTATTTTTTTTTACATCATCTTGTGTGTTTTAAGATTAATCTGAATATATAATGCATGCTTAGGGTTGCCAAGGCCAGTAAAAAAAAAAGCGCCCCAATTTTCCATTCATGTTGGTGCAGAAAAGTTTGATCATTGCTGCACATGTTCAGTTCCTTGTTTTTTCACATAATTCCTGCAGTAATTAGCTGTAGCAGTAATTACCCATTTTTTATATGAATTCCAAGTTTATAAGCCCAGTTTCCATTCTTTTTACTAGAATTTTTTTTTCTTTCATAAATATAATACAGCCTTCAATGAGTTAAACATGTTGCTTTTTACCACATTTAGGAAAGGACAATTTTGTTAAAGAAATCCACAATAAAGGCAAACTAGCCTGAGGAAGGAACATCTACACTATAAGCATAGAAATGCTCTTTCAAGTGTGGATTTTAGTTCCTTTTGGTCAGGAGGAGTTGTCTTTGCAAAGTGTTTTTTCGAAATAGATATATACGTATAATGAAGCGGAACTGAGAGTATAAGGGTTTCCTCAGAAGAAGTGGCAGCTTATATGTTTAGAAGTGAGGTCGTTTCTTAACACAAACGATGCAAGAGGAGGAAGTTCAATATGCTGCAGTGACGTTCAAAAATAAGAAAAAAAGAAAATCAATATGTAAGTTCTATTCTTTTTATTAATGCATCATAGAAGAAAACTCTGATAACTGATAAAACTTCATCTGTTAGCTTCTTTGTTTTTAGTTTTTTTCTTAAATGCAATCTTGCTAAACGTTATTTTTTTATACGTTGATAATTTCAGCTAAAAATGGGGAAGAATGTGCTTACGCTGAAGTAAATGTGAAAAATCTAAATACTCAAGAGACTTCTGACTCAAAAGGTAAGTTGTTGAACAACTTATCTTTTAATAATAAAAAATCATTTTAAATAAAGCTCAGTGACTTTCCCTCTGAATGGTAGCCGGTGTCCTACAGCTTTAGATGTGTCTATGCAGACGCCTAAATCAGGTCATCAGCAGGATGCTTTGAAGAAGGTAGAGCACCCTCCTCATGTACAGAGGCCATAATCCTTGATGGAGCGGTCCTGGGTTTGAATCCTGATTTGTTAAAACCTTGTGTAATCCTTCATCCCATTTCCTGTCTCATAATTTGTAAAGTATTGGCCACCAGTACCATGAAAAAAAAATAATTTGTTGGACTAGAGACATGTCTACTAGTTTCAGAGCACTAACCCTTGTGGACTGATGAATAGGACCCTAAAAAAAAAAAAAAACCTTCAGCTACTTGGTTGAAACGCCAGGCTTTCAAACTTTCTACAGGAAACATACAGCCAGGCAGATGAGCTCCGAGCCAGCTCCCATGTCACAGGATGAAGAGATCATATCCATCCAGTCACAGTCAGAGAAACAGGACTACACTGAAAAACAGGCCAAGCTCCAACATCTACATATACACAAGTGTGTTGACTACGTTTAATTAGTGACTCTGGTGAAAAATTGTGAGGCTGAAAAATCTATGACCTCAGAAATGAACACATCTAATTCCACTGCAAAGGCTCAGGTATCGGCTTAAATATGAGAAAGACTTGAATTATAGTGGTTATCTCAGGGGTGGGCAATTCCAGTCCCTGGGGGCCGGTATCCTGCAACATTTAGATCCATCCTTGGTCCAACACACCTGAATCAAATGGCTGAGTTACCTCCTCAGTATGCAGTCGGTTCTTGCAGAGTCCTCCCAATTATCTGAGTACTTGATTCAGGTCCGTTGAACCCAATGCACATCTAAAAGTTGCAGGATACCGGCCCCCAGGAATTGGAATTGCCCACCCCTGGGTTATCTGGTTTTTCGAAACAACAAAGCAAGCAGAAAAAAACTAACAAATAACAGGATATGCAGTGATTTATCCCAAAATGTATTCAAGTTTTTTTGCTTATTCAGTTTCCTTGAATGCGGCTCTGGGGTGGAGAAACATTTCAAACACGGAGGATGGGGGTTCCTGAGGACCAGGACTGATGACCCCTGGTCCAAAGCTTAAGAATGAAAGCAGTTATCTTTAAAACAGTCATTAATTTACTTTATTCTGTTAACTGTTCTATTCCTGGGTGTATTTTTAAACTATTTTTTGCTTCATTAAATTATTCAATTCTTCTGGTTGTCTTATTTTGGCA